GACAGGCAGAGTTTGAGATGCTGGGAGCAATAAATGTAAAGAAGTCAAGTGAGTGTAGATATTTAGATCTGAAGCTCGGAAGAGAGGTTCTAAGTTGTTGATCTACATGTGAAAGCCCTTCTTAGCACACAGATGTTGGGTGACATCATAAGCCAGAGAGAAACTCCTTTTTGTCGTCGTCGTTGTTGTTTGAGACAAGGTCTCACTTTGTCACACAGGCTGGAGTGCAGTGCTACCATCTTGGCTCACTGCACCCTCTGCTTTGCAGGTTCAAGCGATAACCCTGCCTCAGCCTCCCATGTAGCTGGGACCACAGGTGTGTACCACCACACCTAATTTTTGTGTGTTTTTTGTAGAGGTAGGTTTTCACCATGTTGGCCAGGCTGGTCTTGATCCTCCTGCTTCGTCCTCCCAAAATGCTGAGATTACAGGTGAGAGCCACCACACCCTGCTGAGAATTCTAGATTTAAATCCCAATTACCTAGAAAAATGTATTTCTCACGCAGCATGGTAGCATGCACCTGTAATCCCAGCACTTTGGGAGGCTGAGGCAGGAGGATCACTTAAACCTGTGAAGTCGAGGTTGCAATGAGCCAAGATGGTGCCACTGCACTCCATCCTGGGTGACAAAGCGAAACCCTACCTCAAAAAAAAAAAAAAAATAGAATGAGGATAAAGAGGATTTAGGACTATGACTTGAGGAACTACTATATTTAAGGAATGCTCAGACGAAGAACAGCTGGTAAAGAACACCAAAAAGTCATGATGAAGACCACGAAAAGGTCGTATGTGAAGGGCAGACAACGTTTCAAAGCGTTAGGAGGTGTGTCATTTGCAGCTGCAAGGTTAGGTAAGATAGGGCGAGAACAAGATCCTGTATGTTTATTAGTACTCCTGACTAAAGGAGGCAGAGAATAAGCTTGTACAGAAAATTCTGGAGATGTTTGTGAAGGTAAGGGGAGAAATAGAGCAGAAAGGAGGAGAGAATACAGAATCCAAGAAATGTTTTTTGTTCTTTTTATATCGGAGTTTAGAACATGTTTATATTTTTATAGGAAATATCCACACAGAGGTAGATGCTGACAATATGGGTTGAGAGTGACCTGGGAAAATGTGAATAGTAGCTACATTGGGGTTCTCAAGAGGAGCTTAGGATCCGTATCTGATGGGCATCTGCATTTGGAAGCAAAGGGAATAGTTTCTCCATTGAACTAGGAGGGAAGTTAAAGGACAGGCATTGGTTATGGAGTATGTCAATTCCATAGCAAGAAATGAAGCATTTGTCATCTCCTAACTTTTTATTTCTCTTTCATTAAGAGACAGGACTATCTGTCTCGAAGAGAACAGGAAGTATCCAGCTGATAGCAGTAAAGAAAATAATTGTTGCAAATAACTGGAAAGCACTTTGGCCGGGAAACTCTGAGATTGCAAGGCACGATTTCCCAAATAAAGTTGACAATCTTGACTTAAAAGAAATATGAATTTCCTAATTGTTCTTCTAGCAAGCTCACACCTCAAGGCATGGCCAACAGTCTTCAACTCTGAAAGAAATTTCTATCATCTCTACTGCAGAGAGAGTGAGTCACCCTCTTGCAATTATTCCTGTCCCTCAGTTCACACCTCTTTATTAAGAACTTAACACATCACATCCTTGGTTTTGTCCGCTTAAATATCGTTCTTCCAAACAAGGCTTTAAAATCACTAAGGAAAGTAACTCCTCAGGGCTAGCCATCTCAGCTTTATTCTTTTCTAGCACCTGGCACAGCACCTCAATAAATAACCAGCGTTAGAAATGAAATGAATTTGTAATATCATTTTTCTGTTTTGAGGGTATACCAATACCAAATAAGGATGGAGACAAAAAGAAAAATGTTGTAGAATTGCTACTGAAAAGTTATCTATATTAAAAGAAACACGCACACACTAAAAGCTTCAGAGAAGCTAGAAATTTCTGAATAATGTATAGAGAAAGCAGTTTTTTCAAGAACGAATTAGCCTGACAAGATAACCACACATTCTAAGACGGATCTATTACAGTGACAAGCAAGATACGGGACTTGGCCAAGCATGGTGGCTTGTGCTTGTAATCTCAGTACTTTGGCAGGCAGGGTGGGAGAACTGCTTGAGCCCAGGAGTTTGAGACCAACCTGGGCACTACAGCAAGAGCCCACCTCTAGGAAAAACAAAACAAGACAAACTATATATATATACATACACACACACATACATACACACACACAAATTATCTGGGTGTAGTGGCATCACCCATAGTCCTGGCTACTTAGGAGGTTAGGACTTTGATGCTGCAGTGGGCTATGATTGGACCACTGCACTCCCACCTGGGCAACAAAGCAAGACCCTTTCTCTAAAACAAAACAAAACAAATCAAAACAGTAGATGCAGGATTGAAGAGAAGTCTCTCTCTAAAACACAAACTTAAATGAAGGTTTCACTTCTCTCCTTAGTTTCCTTTATGCAAAAATTCCCCTTAAACAGCATCTTAACTTACAGTCTGCTCCCATAACAACACAAGCCACTCTAGCATTAGTAGGTTGGCTTCTGAACCCTACGCACGCCTAAAACATATTTGGAAATCTTCAGCCACATGTGGGACAGGAGTGGTCATTGGACTCCCTTACTTAGAATGTATGTCTTATTTCCAGCTGTATTCTGCCTTTAATTTGCAGTAATTTTGAATTCCTACAAGAATTCAAGAAATTATTTATGAAATTATTTTATGAAAAATTTAATGAAATTAATTCCTACAAGAAATAATTCAAGAGTGTACAACACTACGCATGTATGTTTTCTGATGTATTTAATTAAAATATTATTTTTATGAAAATAAATTATATTCACTTGAGGTATTCAATTAACAGAAAAGCTCAAATAAAAAAATAAGTAAAAAATTACCTGATATGCCACTAACCAGAAACTTCATTATCATTTGATGAGCGTCATTGCAGCAATTAATCTTTGTAGGTTTCAGATAGAAAGATGGACAGAGAGAGAGAGAGAGAGAGAGAGGGGTAGACAAGCAGATTAGATAGGTGGTTGATAGATACGTAGAAGAAATAAATGAATGGATAGATAGCCAAAAGGGGATTATAAGATATATGACGGAGTACAAATCATGTTACATTTTACTGGAATTTAAGGGAAGAAAAAGAAAAGTACAATTGAAGGATAACACTTTCGATATTTGTTTATAATACATGTGTATTCTAATATTTCTCCATAATTAGGATTATAAATCATTTCTTCATCTTAATGATTTTTATAATCCTAATTATGGAGATATATATAATATGGAGGATTATAAAAATCATTAAGATGAAGAAATGATTTATAATCCTAATTATGGAGAAATATTGAAATACACATATATTATAAACAAATATTGAAAGTACGATAATGTGGTCAATTTTTGATATCATTTAACTCTACTACAAAATATAAAGAATTTGGAACATTTTCTTTTTTCTCCCATGTTTGCCTACATTTGTTAATTGCATTATTAACAAGATTTACGGCATTTTCTTCTAGTGCTAGAATGATGATTTCCAGTTTTATTTTAGCCTACATTTAAATTAAGTAAGTTTAATCCTTTTATATCTGAGACTAAACTTTTCCTATTGATAAAATAAACAACATTTTATTCATATATAAGTATGCCTTTGAAAAATACATATATATAAGTAAATAAAATGTGGTACATCCACACAATGGGCTATTATTTAGTACTAAAATAAAATTCACTATCCAAGCCATGAAAAGACATGGAAGAAACTTAAATTCATATTACTAAGGGAAAGAAGCCTATCTGGAAAGGCTACATACTGTATGGTTCCAACTATATGACATTAGGCAAACTGACAAAAGGCAAAGCTATGGAGACAGTAAAAGTAAAAGTTATCAGTGGGCCAAGGGTGGGGAGAGAGGTAAATAGGTGGAGCACAGAGGATGTTCAGGACAGTGACCTACTGTGTATGATACTATGATGGTAGATGCATGTCATTACACATTTGTCCAAACCCCACAGAATGCACACCACCAACAGTGAGCCCTAAGGTAAACTTCGGTCTTGGGCGATAATGACGTGTCAATGAGGGTTCATCGATTGCAACAAATGTACCACTCTGGTGTGAGATGTTGATAGTTAGGCAGTATAATCGTTCATTTTATTTATCAGCCTGACCAGACTAAAGGATACTCGAATCACTAGGAAAACATTCTTTCTGGGGGTGCTCATGAGGGTGTTCTCCAAAGAGATTAATATGTGAATCAGCACACTGAGTAAAGACCCACCCTCGCCAATGGGTGCACGTCATTCCATCCTTGAAGGGCCGGAGGGGAACAAAAGGTGGAAGGCAGGCAAGTCTCTCTCTGTCCTTGAGCTGAGACATGCCTTTTCTCCTGCCTTTAGACACTGTTGTTCCTAGCTCTCGTACCTTCAGACTCCAAGATTTCCAACTTTTGCTCCGACTGCCCAGTCTCTGACTGGGAGTTACTCCATTGGCGCACCTTAGTCTCAGACTAAATTGCACCACTGGCCTCCCTGGTTCTTCAGCTTGCAGATGACATATTGTGGAACCACCTGGCCTCCATAACCATGTGAGCCAAGCTTCATAATAAATCTCGTATCCACTGTGTATATCTTTTGGGTCTGTTTCTCTGAAGAAGCTGAATAAACTTGGGAGGTTATGCAGGGAGAGGAGTATATTGGAACTCTCTGTGCTTTCTGCTCAGTTTTGTTATGAACTTAACACTGCTCTAAAACAGAAAATAAAAATAAAAACTATAGCTGATAAACATTACCAAATACGGCATCATTTGCGATGATCTTCCTCAAAGAGGTTTCATTTACGAATCATTACCTTACCTTAAAAAACTAAAGGAATAATGCTCAATCTCAAAATTGCCACATTTGGGTAAAATTCTTGGAGAAATTGTCCAAGCTAAATTATTATTAAATAACATGTGAAAAGTTTCCAACTCACATCACGTGCAGAATGCAATCCTTCACTATTCTTTGGACCCAAAAGTTTCTTCATGCTTTCTCTTATGTTTTCTTTCCTCTGTTGTCTGAAAGTCTTCTCCTGATCACACAGAGCCATACTAAATCGTAGGTCTGGGCATGAGCTGTAATACCAAACAGGTCAAGTCATGAGCCAGTGCTCCCAGTAGCCTGGTTTTCCATCCCGCCAGCTCCCCAAGTCCCTCTGAGCTACACTGATGTAAGCTGACTGCTTCCCTCAAGCCATTTCCTAAGAAGGGACCTAAAATAAGAGTATAAACTCATGCCTGTCTTAAAGCAGCATTTTCCACAGCATGTTTTCAGAGAAAAAGGAGTTTTCAATTTTTTAGATAAAATAAACAAGCAAACAAAAAGCCCTGAGAAATTGAATATTATAAAAAAGACTGGAAAGTGCTTCAGTAAAGAATCCCATTTATATTTGTTTGACACAGGATCTCCCAAACCCACTTGACCAAGAATTCCTTCCCTTGTCTCTCCACCCTTCACTATTCCACCATCATAATTACTTCCTAACATCCCAAAGAGCCTGCATTCTGAGGAACATACTTGCAGAAATACCGTCTTAATTAATTGCCTTGTCTGATGGATGCCCCCCTCTGACAAAGAACGAACTTCTAATTGTAGAACTTGAGAAAACCAAAAATGAGTTTATAACTAGAGGACTTTAGAGCCCTTAAATTATATATGTTTTTCCTTGTTAATAAAGGCAACAGCAATTTCTCTACACTATGCCAGAAACCACATTAGGTATTACATATGAATCATCGCAAGAACAATGGAAGTAGTCACTACACATTATTATACAATCTATTATTATATATTGCAGTTTTATAAATTAGAAAACTGATGCTCTGAGAGGTTAGGACCACATAGCACACATGTGATGTACTTTCACCATGCAACAAATAAGACGTTTCTTAGTACTGAAGTCTAAATACCAACTACTGAATTTAAAAATATTTTAAAAAATATATCAGTCTATTTTGGAATATGAATAGATCCAAAATATAGAAGTCAAGAATTATCACCAATAAAATATTTGTCTCTTTACCATTCATAAAAATCCTTACCTTAATTGTAAATCAATTTTAAATCTCATTTATTTTAGTTATTTCTTCCTTGTAAAATATAGAATGAGACTGCTAAGCCTCTGAGCCATTTTCTTTATGATCATATCTGATCATTACTAATAATAATTACTACTTCCCAAAGGACGAATATAGATACCTCACAAAAGAGAAATTACAATTAATAACAAAAAAACTTAATTTCACTAGTGAATTTAAATGATACTGTTATTTAAATATTTTAAATACTTATTTTTTACTGCTAGAAAGCTAAAATAACACTAATCTCATGCATACATTTTGGGAATATAAGTTTGTTAAAAAGCAATATTCAAATTAGGCATATTAGCAATATGGCATATTGAATAATAATTAGAATATGCATTCCTTTTGGCCTAATAATTCTATTTCTGGATAGCTACTTTAAAGGAAGTAACCAAAATTTTTTAAAGATAATTTAAAGAAATGGTTGTTGAACTGTACATAAAAGTATTGGGTTATACAATTACTAAATCTGATTTGGGAAATTACGTAACAAGGGGGAATACAGTAAGATAGTGAGTTAACATTTTTTAAGTTCGGTCTTAAAAAAATGTTTTTTTAAGGCTACACTCTTTTTCTATTACTATTCTTTACAATAACATATTAGGTTAAGTATCTTCTAACCACTATAAGAAATTAAAATCTTGCCTATACAGTTGCCTATATGAAACCTCCTCAATTTTATTTCCTTTTCTGCTTCTTAAAGGTAACAACTATTTAAATTTAATCTTTATCATTCTAATATATTTGTTTATAATTTTACAATGTATACTTATGTCCCTAAATAACAAAGTCATTTTGCAGGTTTCTAGTTTTGTTATAAATGCTATCAGTGCAAATTATTTTTTTCCAATGAGCACTTTGTTTTTTGAGAATCATCTGTGCTTAAATAAACAGAAGTAACTCAAACATTTTTACCATTGTGTAGTATTTTCATTATATTAGTATACTATAATCTATTTATTCATAAACATTGAAATAATTTCCAATGTTTTGTAAACTATTACAAGCAGTACCATTATTAGCATGTGGTATACATGTGTGAAAGTTTCCTATTGTATATATACTCTTTAGAAAGAATATCTCATTTAATCACAGTAGATACGCTTGGAAAGTATTCTTTTCTTATTTCATCAGCAAGTAAAAAAGTGACTAGAAATCTATCAATGATTAACATAATTAGCAAGTAGTGGATTTAAATCTAGGTCTTATTGTTCTGGAAGCCATGTGCTTTGTAATATACTGCGCTGTTATATATAATTTTTTTAAATGGTCCTGATTTAAAAATAATTTTGAACGGTATAATGACCTAGATGTTTTAAAGATATCAGCTTTTAAAATCTAGATGAAAATTCAAAAAATTCTGAGTAATTTTATAAATGCAGTAGCAGAATTACGGTTAATTTACTTCTTTCACCCATTATTTTTAACTTTCTAATTAATTCTTTCTTGATTAATAGAAGGTATTACGTGGAAAGTTTTTATTTGAATAAATTGAATTTTTCCTTGAAAACAATTTCTATTACAGAGCTGACATAAATTAACATACAGAAAGAGAAGTTTTTAATATTATAAAAATATGGTTCTAATTACCTCAGTGAAGACTATTTCCCATTAAACAAAAGCATTACTTCCATAGTCAAATAAAAAATGTTTCTAATCTTATGCCAAAATATACCACTTTTAAGCAAGAATGAACTTAATACAAAATATGCAACACAATAACTTGGACTATCCTTTGATATTTGCTGACATATATTAATAGGCTGTGGAAATAAATGCCAATCATTTACTAAGTCAAATCACCATGTTCCAGGGATCAAAATAAGACAAATAAATTCCTAAACCCAATGTACCCATTATCATACATCTGGCAAATCACCAGATGTGAAAATGTTAAGTTAATTTTCGTGGCGTTTGTGTAAAATATGTACTAGTAATTTTGGTCAAATCAAGTTCAACAGGGAAGTTCAAAGAGATGCAGAGAGGTTAAGGGAACTCATTATTACACCAGAGATCAGTTAGATCAAAGCAGACCTGCCTCCCCTAAATTCACCACTTGAAAATAAGTACATGATTTCTTAATATTCACTTTTGGAGGCCACTTTGAAAGAGCAGCATGATTCATGGAACTTTATTAGTAGTGGTCCTGCTGGGTTACTATGAACAAAATCAGTCTCAATTTTCAGTTTTTCCTCTATAAATATGATTATAGCTTCCTGTTTATGTTCACTTCTATGTTTTTGAATAGCTACTGAATCAACAATAGAAGATGCGCTTAAAAAACTACATTCATTTCTATGGGAATAGATATATGACTAGAGGGAGGACTCTTCTGAAAAGCACTTATTCTGACATTATTATATGACCACCAAACTATTGGAAAAATAAGCAAAGCATATTAAAATAAAAGAATAATGAATATAAGAATATTTTTGTAAAAATTCTGTAGCTATCAATAGACAACTAACAAAAAAACAAGGTAAATGTAATGCACTTTTATATGTTCAAAGCTGTCAGGATTGTATATATATATAAAGTATATCCTTTAACAGTTCAAATAAATTAGTGGATCACTCACAATATTTCTCATCCAATTAAATAAATGCACTTACCAAACTTCAAGAGACATTTCTAGAATCATTTCGGTGACCTAAAAAAAGATATATTAATCAGATTAGATCATAAAGTAGATGTGTTTTTTATATAATAGAAACAAACTCAAAATAAATTTTGAGTGCCAGATTATTTTTAACCTCAAAAGATAAAACCTTCAAAATAAAAGTAACACAGCTCCATGAAGACCCTAAACTACAGGTGCATAGCAGTAAACCAGCTTTTTTTTTTTAAATAAGTCTACTTAGCCATTTTAGCAAACCTAAGAATTATCTCTGCCTGGTTGTTTTCCTCCCTCAGTAAAATAAAGTAGTTCACAATTACTATTTATAAAACATACAAAGTGCCTGAGATATAAAAGCTACTGAGATGTTGTGTCTATTATTTAGGAGCTGCCTCAGGCCACAAAATCGGAAGCTGTAATGGACCAGAGGTTAGAGACAGCCTGGGTGGAAGTTTGAGCATGTGCATTTGGGACAAGAGCAGGCTGCAGTAACCTGGAAATAAAACACCCATTCATGGCAGGCAGTAGGACCTAGGGTCCAGCCAACTGTGGTTAGCTTGGGAAACATCTACTAACAAGATCTGGAGCCTCTGGGTTTTATTTATTTCAACACTATTTAAGCCTATTAAATATATTAAAGGACTGCATCCTGCCAGAGAGAGAATTTTGGTCGAAAAGAAAAGAAAATGACTAATATCTACTTAAGATATTAAGAGTTGTCTTTCCAGAGACTGTAAATCTGTTGTACAGAAAGGCCTTTTCAATATTATCCCTGGCATTAGCTATGGAAAATGTAACTGTAGATTGTCATGAGAACCAAATGAGAAAATGCTTTGAAAGTTGCTATACAACTATAACTGTGTTATTTTTATTATATCAACTGATATAAGAAGAATACAGATAGAGCTAACTTGTTCAATAACTTCAAGTAGAACAGAACTAGGATATACCTCTTGAAATGTAAAGAGGAAATTTTTAGAACGTAAAATGCTGTAGGTTATTAGATTTACCCTCTTGAGTTTCAAGGAATGGAAAAAAACAAACTAGAAGCAGGTTTCCAAAAGGTTAAAATAAGTTCATAGGTGATTGATTCTCAGTGCTGAATTTTACGAGTAAGCAAACGGTATTGAAATCATCCCTACAAAAATTTGTCTCTCTCACTAAAGGTAAGCTCTGTCTTACATAGGTTCCTATTACTAGTTCATCGTATAGTATTTGGCACACAACAGGTAATACATACTTGTCAAATTACTGTTCGTGTGTGTTTGTCAGAAGGAGCACATTGGACAACCTTTTCTTGTCAAATAGCTAATTATTATTGGAGGCAAATCATGGGATGGTTGACCCGGACGGCAGTTCCTATATATAGAATTCTATGAATCTTCATTCATAGAAGAAGCATATACATATATTTAAAGTTAATAAAATAATTGAGAATCCCAGGACAAATGAAGTCATGCATGCCCAGATGAATGTAATGTCAAAGGGTGGTTGGCGACCCAACAGGGACTGCAGTTGCTGTCAATTCTATCAATGGAAGCACGGCTCAGCTCACATCCCAGAACATTACATCTATTTCCCACTTCAAAATTTTAATTGGAGTATGGCAAAGAGGGCTTGGAAAACATTTTATATTGAATAAGGTTACTTTGGATATTTAGAAGAAAACAAGATGGGTAAAGTATGGTTTGTTTTTTTTCCCCCAAGCACTATATAAAAACTGCCCTTAAAATGATACTAGATTTAGTATTTTTATCTCCAGAGGGTAAAGCCATCATGATTGGATGGAAATAACATGAACAATATTACAACTCCATGTAGAGTTTTCTAATAAAGGGAAAGATTCAAGGCCTCTTTCATTGTGCCACCTCATGACAGAAGGTGTTCAAGAAGACAGTGGCTTCCCAGCTGGCAGGTCCCTAGGCAATTTGTAAATTACATATCCAATGCTTGGCCAGGTGGGGTGGCTCACACCTGTAATCCCAGCACTTTGGGAGGCCAAGGCAGGGGGATCACCTGAGGTCAGGAGTTCAAGACCAGCCTGACCACCATGATGAAATCCCGTCTCTACTAAAAGTACAAAAATCAGCCAGGCATGGTGGCATGCACCTGTAATCCCAGCACTTTGGGAGGCCAAGGGAGGGTGGATCACCTGAGGTCAGGAGTTCAAGACCAGCCTGACCACCATGGTGAAATCCCATCTCTACTAAAAATACAAAAATTAGCCAGGCATGGTGATGCACATCTGTAATCCCAGCTACTCAGGAGACTGAGGTAGGAGGGTGGAGGTTGAAGTGAGGCGGGAAAATGCCACTGCACTCCAGCCTTGGCCACAAGAGCAAAAACTCTGTCTCAAAAATAAATAAACAATTATATATACATATATATATGTGTGTGTGTATATGTATATATCTCCAGTGCTTGAATATATCCAATGCCTGTTTGTTCTGACAGCTCCACGAATAAAAGGAAAATCAACCATGCTACATTCATAGTCAAACTTGTCTTCTCCATTAGCACGTGCTTTCTGTATCTACCAACATTTCTTGGCTAAGACATTCATGATCCTGGATGGACTGACAAGACTCTTTAAACAAAGGCAGGATAACAGAAGAGAAGGCACAGGGTTTTTCTGCCACTTTGAATGTTACAGGCTGTGGTTCAAGGTTCTTGTCACATGGATTAGGATCCTCACTTCCACGTTGCCCAAGTGGGTCACCCACAACCAGGAGGAAATTTAAAACACTCTCATTTGGTGCACTATGTTCAGACATGCTATGCATGATAAGCTAGATGTTAACAATCTCTCTACACCTTTTACCTAGAACATGTCATTCAGATAAAAACATGTACTTCCTGTGAGGCATTAAACAAGTACTGTAAACTTCTTCCCACACACTGCATAAAGGATCTCTGCATTACAGGCTTCCGCCCTGCTTGTATTATCAGGGCAATTAGAAAGAAGAGTGACCACCTCTTCCAGGCTCTCCCATCACCCTAATACCTAGATTAGAACTAATTAGAACTCCACCTTTTTTTTTAGAAAGAAGTAGGCTGTGTCCCTTATGTATTCTTGTGAAAAGCAGCAATGTCATCTTGGAATTCCCCAGTGGAAAGCAATTTTAGATGTTTACAATGGGAGATTTTCAGGTAGAGGAGAATGGGGAGAACTGGAGAGGACAAACTATAAAAACTAAAAGCCATTTCAGCCTTTAAAATAATTTTTAAAGGATCCAACCCACTAATTATCTTGAAAATTTCCAGAGTCATTTTGAAATAATAAAGCTTAAAGCAACAAGCACAGTGCCTGACAATAAGGAAGCCCTTTAAAATAGCAGTCCCCAACCCTTTTGGCATCAGGGACTGGTTTTGTGGCAGACAATTTTAACATGGACCAGGGTGGCGGGTGGGGGGGCGAGGGGTTTCGTGATTCGAGCACATTACATTTACTGTGCACTTTATTTTCATTATTATTACATTGTAATATATAATGAAATAATCATACAACTCACCGTAATGTAGAATCAGTGGAAGCCCTGAGCTTGTTTTCCTGCAACTAGACCTTCCATCTGGCATTAGATTCTCATAAGGAGCATGCAACCTAGATCCTTCACACGAGCCATTCAAATAGGGTTCACGCTCTTGTGAGAATCTAATGCCACTGCTGATCTAGGAGGTGCAGCAGCCATGCAAGTGATGGGGAGCAACTGTAAATACAGATGAAGCTCTGCTCCTTTGCCCACCACTCACCTCCTGCTGTGCAGCCGAGGTCCCAACTTGCTGTAGACTGGAACCAGGGGTTGAGGACCCCTGCTTTAAAATGATTATTATAAAAAAAGATGCACAGAGAAAAATAATCTCAAATTTGAGAATCTATCCTATTAGTAAAAAGTTCTTCAAATATGCTATGATTTCTCTCATATATTCTAATGTTTACATCATTTGCTTTCAATAAAACATAATTTTGAATTCTGATCCCTAGAGTTCGTTTACTCTTTTTCTTTTCTAGGTAGAAACGAACAGTAACTAATCATCATATTAATTCAATCATTATTCACACGTTTCAAGAGAATCACATAATATTTTCGGCCCTGTCCGTATTTACTTGACCTGTGCAGGATAACAAATAAAGTCATTTTTTAAAGGGTCATTTTTAGTTAGAATCATGTTTCCATACATTGTATCTCGATCCTGTAAAGAAGGAGCAGGATCTGACAAGGAGGCGATCCAAGCACAAAGCGAAATTACAACCCTATCAATACATGCAAACTCACATCTAATGCATTCTGCATGTTTAGAAACTGAATGAGACACTGGTAAAATCACTTTCACCTCTCCGACCTCATCTCCCCCAGTCTCCCCACCCCCCTTTCTTTGTGTTCCAGCCACACTCTCCAACTTGCTGTTACTCATCTTGCCAGGTGAACTGCTTCAGAGCCTTTCTACTTGGAGTGCCTTCTGTCCTCAGATATCCTCAGAGATCCTTCCTTAGCCACATTTTTGGAACTGCCTTGGTGACGCCTTCACACACATATACACACTGCCCCATTCTCTGTCCCTAGTTTAGTTAGCACTTGTCATTATCATCATCTAGCAGGAGTTTCTTTTACTTATTTACCTTGCTTTTCATCTGTCTTGCTACGTAGAATGTAAGCTCCATGAGGGTAGGGATTCTTGTTCATTTTGTTCCCTGCTGAAATAGGCAGTGCCTAAAGGTGTCTACCACCTGGCGAGGGCTCAATAGTTATTTGTAAAATGAATAAATTAATGAATCAATAATTTCTCCTTATCTCCCTGCACACATTACCTGTACTGTCCATTTATCATCCATAAACATTAAACTCTAGTTAATGATATGCTGAAGTTTGTAGGGGTAAAGTATACTGTTGTCGGCCACTCACTTTTAAATGCATCAGAAAAGTAAACATTTTTGGTAAAAGGCTAATTATAGAGTCTAGGTGGCAGTTATATGATGTTCGTTGTATAAATCTTTCAACTTTTTATATGTTGAACATTTTTATAGTAAAATTTAAAGAATAATAATGCTTTAGAGAGGCCTTCTCTGACTAGACAAACTTTTGTTGCTCACCAGCTGTTTTCTATTGCATACCTTTGTTTTCCTCATAGTATTTCTCACTAGCTGATGGTGTGTTGATCATTCTTTTGCTCAACATTGGCTGTTTACTTTCCCTATTAGAATGCAAGCTCCCTGGAGAGTTCCCAGGATACTGCCTGTCACCTAGAATACCGCTTGGAATATAACCGTTGTTTAATAAATAACTTCTTAAGTAAGTAAATCAATGACTAGATGTCTCATGATACTACTTATTATTACCTGTCAGTTTACACACGAAAGCATACTTTCCAAACAAATTCTTAGTTCCTTGAAAATTGTACTTTTGTGCAGTTTTTTTTTGATGTCTAGCAACATTTTAGGAGCACAATAAAGGCTTACATTCTTCTTATATTAATAAATAACACAATATATTGACAAGTCAGTATTTTTAAATTGTATAATACCATATCAATGATAGATTTTTATTCTTGCAGTATTATCATTTAGCTTCCATATCTGTAAAATGAGAAGAACTGAAAGCTTTTGGGTGAAGAAGGTCAAATGAAAATAAGGTATTCTACTTATAAGTTTCTAAGTGTGAGCTAAACATTGGGTACACAGGAACATTACGATGGGAAAAATAGACACTGGAGACCCCAAAAGTGGGGAGAGGAGAGGAACAAGGGTTGAAAAACTACCTACTGGATACTCTGTTCACTACCTGGGCGACAGGATCATCAGAAGCTCAAACCTCAGTATCATGCAACATACCCATATAACAAACCTGTACATGTACCTCCTGAACCTAACATAAAAAATAAAACAGGCTGGGTGTGGTGGCTACCACCGTAATCCTGAGGCTGAGGCCTCCCAAAGCTTGAGACCAGCCTGGACAGCATGGTGAAACCCTGTCTCTACTAAAAATACAAAAATTAGCCAGGCATGATGGTACATGTCTGTAATCTCAGCTACTTGCGAGGCTGAGGCACAGGAATGGGCTTGAACCCGGAGGCAGAGGTTGCAGTGAGCCGAGATCATGTTACTGCACTCCAGCCTGGGCAACAGATCAAGATTCTGTCTCAAAAAATATATAAATAAAAATAAGATGTTTTTAAAAGAAGATAAGGTATTCTTTCTAGATCATAAAATTTTACAAATTAGAAAAGAGGTTAGAAAAAATTCAGTCTAAACCTTCATTTTACAGATGAAGAAAATAAGGCTCAGAAAGAATAACAATTCAAACATTCTGGAGAGATATGAATGACAGAGACAAAACGAGGGTCCATTCTCCCAATTCCCGGTTTTGACTCCAAGTTAGTAAAGCAGGGCCCTGGGAATCTGCCCATCTCCATTTGGAAGCTCCTATTATTTCTCCAGCTGTCTCCTGGACACAGAAATCACTCTATGTTGACTCAGTATTAACTTTTGGATGATAAAACTATGCAAGAGCTTTTGCTAATACTACTTTGCCTTGAAGAATTTGTTCTCTCTTCACCAAATCTATGTGCTCTTTTTCCTCTACCAGATTACCATAACCATCTTCAAGGCTTACATCTCTTCTCTCCCATTGCTCCCTCACCGCCTCCTCTCTCTTACAACCTCTGTAAACATTGTAGAAAGATCATCAGGAAGACTGGGATTCTGAGCTGAGGGCAGAGGCTGGATAGCTAGGTGGTTGCACAGGGCACTCCCACGTGATCTGAGGAACAAGCAGGGAACTGTCACCTCAGCCATCATGCTTCCTTCTCTCCCAACTACCCCTTCAGCTCAAAAGACCATCATTCAGATAAAAATACAGAGAAGGCTGAAAACAGAGTAATGAAGAAAAGCTTGCTTGAACAACTATTTTCTCAGGCACACTGAAAAAAAAAAGTTACATAAGCTTCTTTAAATTCAGGAATGTGGAAGGCCTCTCTAGAGCCCTGGGGATTACACATCTAGCCATAGGAAATGACAGAGGAGAGGAAATGAATGTTGTCCACAACATCTTCTCTTATAAGCAGTCTTTGTATCATGGATTAAAGTGAACCAAGTAAAAAAAAAAAAATTACTTTGGAAAGTCCAATCCATGCTTCCAAAGTCCTCAACAGGCATTTACTGAGAGCTGATGCTAGCCACATGCAAAAGGTAAGGCCTGCAGCGTGCAGCCCTTGACCCCCTGTACACTGTCTTCCCTCTGATTCAGCAACATGGACGTGCCAAGCCATTTAGCGTGCTGTGCCCTAGCTTGCTTTCTCCTTTCAAGACTCTGGCCTTTTGCAATACGCTCTGCCCAGAATGCTCATAACTTCTTTACTGATGATATCCCTGCTGTTTTCTTAAAGTGTAATAACAGCAACAATGACAAGTAACATTTATATACTGCCTAATATGTGCCAGAAGCTGTTCTAAGCCCTGTATGTATACATGCATACATCTATGTGTTTAAAGTATGGATACATTTTAATTGCTCATTTTAATTACTTTGTAGTATTAACATATTTTAATCACTTTCAATCACTTATTGAATTATGTGCTTAATATTAAGCTAAGTAATATATAATGTATATATTGAACCATAAAATATATCTAATTGTAATTAAATATATTTTTATATATCTAATTATAATTAAATATATTTATATATAATATACAGCATATTATAATCATATATTATATACAATTGACTTGTTTAATCATAATGATTCCCTTAGAAGATGTTATTTCCATTTTACAGATGAGTAAACTGAGGCACAGAAGAGTTAAGTGTTATTTTCCCAGAATAAAACAGATGGCAAGGGACAGAGCTGGAATTTAAACACCAGACAGCCTGTCTTTCAATGCCAAGGTGTTAACCACCATTCGCTGTTCAACTTGTTCAAAATCAGCTACTGCTAAGGAGCCATCGCTGGCCTCCTCTCACAACAAAATCGTTCTTTATTCTGCCTTCCTATAGCAGTCTATACATGCCTCATTGGTACTTATCTCACTGTCTGGGGATTTCTTTTTACCACATGTATGTATCTCCCTGCTTCCACTTCTCATTTCAACCCTTACTCACCTCCATCTCGTAGGGAGATAATTGAGGGAAGAATTTCCTGTACCTTATTCTTTATATTCCTTGCACAAAACACAATGACTGGCACACAGCAGACCGTCAATAAATGTTTGTAAAAGGAATGAATGAAATAGCTTTAAAAGGGGTTGACAGAGCTGTAGGCAGTGCGTCTCTTGGCATAACACAGAAGAAATGTTCCCTGCAGCAGGTGGAAACATCAAGGAGTGCATGGACCAGAGTATCCTCAAGGTACCTGGGCCATTCTGATTACATGGACTAGTTAAGACACTCCTTTGGACTAAGTTGGTTTCTAAATAGGTATGCATGCATTCCATAAATGTCATCTGTGTCATTAATTCTGTAGGCACGTTTAATCAGTGTTTCAAGTTTACTGACCTAGAGGATTTTAGTCTACAAGAGGAAAATGAAAAATTGAACAGTATGAATACTTTAGTCCCAATAAAGACCATGGATAATTATCATGGAGACTCAAAGGAGGAAGAGTCATTTGGGATAGCAACAGGAAAGGCAATACGGAGTAGCTGAGAGTGAAGGGAGAGGTAGTTTTCAGTGAGTGGAGGGACTTGGCAAAAGCACACTGTCTCTCCCAATAACAAGAAATTAGTATGTTAACCAGCCTTACACATACAGGTGCACCCGTTATTTACTTTCTTACTATATACTACTAAATCAGTTTCTCACAGAATTCAAAATCCAATGAGTTTATTCTATACACAAAATTTTACCTAACGTTTCATTATTCCAAAATAAACTAGCAAAATTTCCGAAATGCAGCAAACCTAGAAAGTGAAAGATAACCGTAACCTCCGATCACTCCTTCTGGCCTTTTGCTGCTTTGTCCCTACTTACTTGAGGATTCTCTGAGACAGAAATATTCCTCCAGAGAGATTCATTACTAAACATGTGATTTTGGAATTTGAATTTCCTGACATTGTTCATTGAGTTTGTTTACTTGTTCTCTTGCTCGCGCCTATCCCTCTTAGGTTTTTCATCTCTCTTTATCCTCCCAATTTTTTTGCATAAAATTTGCCAATGGAGTCCAAAGGCATTGCTGAAACCCAGTGTCATCATTTGGAGCAACAAAGGAGATTAAAGTCTTAGTACTGTTTGGTATAATACCTAAACCAAAGTTTATAGATACCAGAATAATTTTAAAAATTAGGACAAGAAATAAAAACAAAATTTTCTCTTAAAAAGCAAACATTCTATAAACAAATACAATTTTCTAAGTGTTAAACCCAACTTTCCAGAATCAATACATTTTATCTAACATAAGGCTGGAAAATAATTCTGCAGTGTTACTTACTTGGTTGAAAATAAAAGGAACTTCTTTCTTCTCTCCCACCTTCATAGAAGATACAGGAAATGTTGCTGTCCCTAGAGTTTCATCCATGACATAATTGGCATCCATTAACGTAATCTATAGAGTAAAATGTACAGCACAAAAATAAAATTTCCCATGGATCTTTGGAAATTACATCAATAATTTCCACCACATTTTAAATAATGAAGCTCTCAAATGATTTGAGTTATTTGAAGATCTCAGTATTTAATTGCTAATAATACTTTTATTTTTTCCTTCTTTTTTTTTTTTTTTTTTTTTTTTTTTTTTTTTTTTTTTGTTGAGACAGGGTCTCACTCAATCTCATTCACCAGGCTGGTATACAGTGGTGGGATCTCAGCTCACTGCAACCTCCACCTCCCAGATTCAAGCGAATCTCCTGCCTCAGCTTCCTGAGTAGCTGGGATTATGGGCGAGCACCATCACATCCAGCAAATTTTTGTATTTTTAATAGACACAGGGTCTTACCATGTTGGCCAGGCTTGTCTTGAGCTCCTGACCGCCAGTGATCTGCCTGCCTCAGTGCTCTGAAAGTGCTATGGTGTGAGCCACAGTGCCCAGCCAATCTTTACCTTCTGAGTACTATGTTTGCTATAATACTTTTTCACATTTTCCTGATTGATTTATTCAATTATGTTTTCAAAAATGAAACTTTATCTCTTCTCTACTTTGGAATATAAGAAAGATATTAATGTAGAAAATCAATACAAATATTTTGGAAAAAATTAATTTTCACTTTTTTAGAAGACAATTTAAAATATTTATATTCTGTTATACAGTGATTCTCCCCTTTACAGCAGAAAATACATTTTCTCCAAAGCACATGGGAAGGAGAAAAGTCTTTCCAACCCTGCCTAACTCCTGTATGTCCCAATAGATACTCATATTACCTAACGGACGCCATTTAGATTCTAGTCTACCAAGCTGCCCAGACTAACTCCAACTATAGCTAACAGGAACAAGAACGCAGTAAAAGAACAAAGTCAAGCATATGTCTCAACATGAATGACAACCATCCAACAGTGTCCAAATGGTTCACTTACCTCCAAAACATTTTCCTGATTAGGGTCCAAAATAAATTCAAAGGTCTCATTCCACACAGGGTTTATGTCATTATTGAAGTGTCTTGTTCTCTTCCTGCTGTCAGGGGTTGTAGAGATAAAAAGTTCCACATAGGGATCTGGAGTATCAACTACAGAAACACAAACAAGGAGGTAGAAATGTGATTTATCATTCCTAATGTTTTTTATTAATAAATATTGTCAGGTTTTATTCAATGAATCTGTAGTGATATATTTAAATGTCTGAGACAAGATAATGTACACATAATGGAAAAACATTATAGGCCAGAGACTTTTTAGATATGTCGCTGTCCTTCATAATAGTCCTGTGAGAGGGAGTCGTTTATTAAGTGATTTATTCAAAATTCCTCCATCCATCTAGAGGACAGGTTCACAACAGTCAACATTTCAGTCAAGCTACTACAGGATGATAACAATCTCACCCAGCTAATGCCAGCATGACCTTCACAGGGACAAGATCACAGGTTTAACCCAGAAACAAATACGCAGACCTACAGTGAGCTCATTTTTGACAATAAACATACACCAGGCAAAAAACAGTCTCTTCAATAAATGGTGCTGGGAAAACTGGATCTCCATATGCAGAAGAATGAAGCTAGACTCCTATCTCTTGCCATGTACAACAATGAAATCAAAATGGATTACAATTTAAATCTAAGACCTCAAACTATAAAACTACAACAAGAAAACATTGAAGAAAATCTCCAGGACAAAACTCTGGGCAAAAACTTCTTGAGCAATACCACACAGGCACAGGCAACCAAAGCAAAAATGGACAAATGGGACCACATCAAGTTAAAAAGCCTTTTACACAGCAGAGAAAACATCAACAAAGTGAATAGACAACCCACAGAATGGAAGAAAACATGCAAACTACCCATGCAATCAGGGATTCTGACCAGAATATATGAGGAGCTCAAAAAACTCTGTAGAAAAACGTCTAATAACCTAACCAAAAAAATGAGCAAAAGATTTGAACAGATATTTCTCAAAAGAAGACATACAAATGGAAAACAAGCATAAGAAAAGTACTCAACATCGTCCATCATCAGAGAAGTGCAAATCAAAATTACTATGAGACCTCATCTCACCCGGTTAAAAAGGCTTACATCCAGGCAATAGCAAATGCTGGTGAGGATGTGGAGAAAAGGGAACTCTTGTACACTGTTGGTGGGCATGTACATGAGCACAACCATGATGGAGAATAGTTTGGAGGGTTCTCAAAGCCCTAAAAGTAGAGCTACCATGTGATCAAGCAATCCCACTGCTGAGTATGTATATACTCAAAGGAATCAGTATATTGAAGATATATCGGCACTCCTGTGTTTACTGAAGCACTATTTACAATAGCTAACATTTAGAAGCAACCTAAGTGTCCATCAGTAGATGAATGGATAAAGAAAATGTGTTATAGATACACAGTGGAGTGTTACTCAGCCATAAAGAAGAATGAGATCTTGTCATTTGCATGGATAGAATGGGAGTCATTATCTTAAACGAAATAAGCCAGGCACAGAAACACAAATATCACATGTTCTCACTTATTTGTAGGATCAAAGAATCAAAACAACTGAACTCATGGAAAGGGCAGAAGGATGATTACGAGAGGCTGGGAAGGGGAGTAGGGGGTTAGAGGGGAGGTGGGGATGGTTAATGGATACCAAAAAAAATAGAAAAATGAGTAAGACTTGCTATTTGATAGCGTAACAGGGTGACTATAGTCAATAATAATGCAACTCTTCAGTGGGGCAAAAGTGAGAGGGCAACACAAATGCCCAGGGTCATTGAAAAAACACACACCCCTGACCCTCCCCAAGACCCATTATCAGCATAGCTGTAGCAGAACTAGGGGCTTGCAATTTTTAACAAGCAGTCTAGCTGACACTGATGCAGATCATCTTCTGGTCACACTTTTGATTTCCTATTTTAGAGAAAAGGGAATAGCCAATCATTGTCATTTTTAACTTTTTTACCTCTTTTTGTCTCTATGAAACTATAAACTCCATGATAGCAGTGACCACAACCTTCCTATTCACTCCTGTATCTAAGAGTCTCACATAAAGTCCGATACATAGGAACATGATAAACATTACTAAAGGAATGGATGAATACTGTATTCTCCGTGATGTGATTATTTTGCACTACAAACCTATATCAAAACATTTCATGTACCCCATATATATATACACCTACTATGTATCCATAACCATTAAAAAGTAAAAAAGAAAAAAGTCAAAAAATACTTTTTTAAAAAAAGATTATATTGTCAATGTTAGAAAAATCATCCTGGTTACTTTGTTTATCAGATAAAATAATGAAAGTCATTGTGAGAAGAATATCATTTGTTGTTACAGAGTTGCCTTGCATGGTTGCACAGGTTGCGCACTGAACAACCTTAAGGGGTGGCACTCACGTTAAAAATCAACATGTATATATTATGACACTACTGAGGTGGAAATGAGGTGTCCTTAGGCTAGGAAGTAACAGTTTCCCTTCCCCTCCCCTCCCATCTCCTTTCCTTTCCTTTTGTTGAGATGGAGTCTCACTCTGTTGCCAGGCTGGAGTGCAATGGTGTGAGCTTGGCTGACTGCAACCTCCACCTCCTGGGTTCAAGCAATTCTCATGCCTCAGCCTCCTGAGTAGCTGGGATTACAGTTATGCACCAGCAAACCCAGCTAATTATTGTATTTTTGGTAGAGACAGGGTTTCACCATGTTGGCCAGGATGGTCTTGATCTCTTGCCTTGTGATCCACCTGCCTCAGACTCCCAAAGTGCTGGCATTACAGGCATGAGCCACTGCATCCAGTTCACATAAAGTCCCACTTGAATCAGGGTATGATATGTGTGCCCATGGAAATAGAATAAAACAATTGGAAATAAAGAAAATATTTTAATTTCCTCTCACCACGCATACACTTAGCAACAAAGTGAGTGACCCAAACAGTGCAAATATTGATCACTCCTTTTTCAGGATTCCACCAAATCCTTCACAGCACTGGACACACTGTATTTTATGGATGAAATGGTACATCTATCTGTCTTTTCCTACAAGACTGTAAAAAACTTGAGGGCAAAGATCTTACCTTCCTCAGCTGTACATCTTCAGAAGCTAACAACAGAAAGCAACTGTCACAATATTTAAGGTCCCCTAACCGAAGGACTTGACTTTGCTGTTTAACAGGTGCTTCTCCATGTGGCCATTATAATTAATTAATAAAAACAACAAATAGCTAAGTAATGATGACAGGGATCTGTATTAGGCACTTTACACACATTAGTCTCATTTAAATCTAACAAAAGCACTATAACATAAGTACTTTATTTTAGTGTTGAGGCAACAGGAACTGAGAGATGTTAAGCAATAACGCACAGCTAATAAGTATCAGGTCAAGATCTTGAACCTGGGTCATTTGACCACAACAATCATTCTCTTATTACATAATGTTCCTCAGTAACAAAAATTAGATTATAAGATATGGGCTCTATGGAAAGAGGAACTGGAATTAGAGGGAGAGAAAGAGAGGATGAGCACAAGAGTGAGGGAGGGAGGGGGGAGAGAAGTACAGAGGTCAGACAAAAAGATCCAAAATATTGAGAATAAAGGCAAAGTAAAAATAATAGTTTCTGATCTATTGATTGGGTTTCCAAAAAAGATTTTTTTTTTTTTTTTTTGAGATGGAGTTTTGATCTTGTTGCCCAGGCTGGAGTGCAATGGCGCGATCTCGGCTCACTGCTACCTCCATCTCCCTGGTTCAAGCAATTCTGCCTCAGCCTCCTGAGTAGCTGGGACTACAGGTGTGCGCCACCATGCCAGCTAATTTTTGTATTTGTAGTAGAAACGTGGTTTCACCATGTTGACCGAGATGGTCTCAATCTCCTGACCTTGTGATCTACCCGCCTCAGCCTCCCAAAGTGCTGGGATTACAGGTGTGAGCCACCGCACCCGGCACAAAAAAGTTTTTTAAATAGATGTTGTCATCAACAATAGCTATAGTCATCAGAAAGCTTAATCAATGCCCTTCACTTAATTGTTCAGTATTGCTCCTGGTTCTTTATGGGATCTTCAGCTTCTTTAGATGCAGGTGTATGTTTGGTGGTTGTTACTGAAAAATGGGAGGATCTACAAATGAATCAGCATTGAGACTGCCTTTAATTTTCTGGCCTGGACCTTATACATCATTGGTCAAGAGCAGTGGGGCAGAAATGAGAAGGCAACACAAATGCCCAGGGTTATTGAAAAAACACACACCCCTGACCCTCCCCAAGACCCGTTATCAGCATAGCTGTAGCAGAACTAGGGGCTTGCAATTTTTAACAAGCAGTCTAGCTGACACTGATGCAGATCATCTTCTGGTCACACTTCTGATTTCCTATTTTAGAGAAAAGGGAATAGCCAGTCATTGTCATTTCTAACTCAGTGCTTATATCTCTCAACAGGATCATGGAATACAAATTAGAAAACAAAAAGATTGACTGGGAAGGATGATAAGGCGGAATGGGCCAGAGAAGAAGAGAACATGTCACAGGGTCCCTTATCACATTCTCAACCAGGATGTGATGGCTTCTTTTCCTTGACCATGTTTCTGCCATATCACCAGTGCTCAGGGTTGCAAACCAGAAGTAAAACTCCATATTTAGAATAGCAGGTTGGTAGAAAATTAGAAAGAAAAATATGTAATTTTAAGGAGAATATTCAATGAATGCTGCAAATTATGTGTTAAAAAGCATAGCCCTAGATCATCTCATAGGGCCAGTTTTTTGTTTGTTTGTTTTTTACCATTTTCCAAGAAATAGTAGAAGAAAAAAAAAAAGCTAAGCAAAACCAACCTAGAATACAAGAAGTGTGTGGGCAGGGGAGGCATGCAGATGGTAAACATCATTCATTCATTCAACAAATATGTGAGCCAGATGCCAGGAATTGCTCACCCTCAAGCAGTTTAGCTTTGGTAAGGAGCCATACCCTAAATTGAAAATTCAGATTATGGAAGTGAGTCAAATGCTAATATAGCCTAATTTTAGAGGCAAGGTAAATTGAAGATAACCAGATACACTACCCCTGTGACTAGTAACTCAGTCACCCAGATTATTACACACAAATAAGGTCAAATC